GATGAGTAAGATCAACAGAAGGTGCATTAGTATTGGGAGCTTGAACGTCCGGGGCATTCGGCAAACAGAAAAGAGACGGGACGTAATTGACTTTTTAAGAAAAAGTTACTATTCGGTAACGTGCTTAATTGATACTCATGTCACAGAAGATTTAATAGATGTTGTGCGTTCCGAATGGGGTAGCGAACTAGTAGCCAGTTACGGAACAAACAACTCTAGAGGCATCATAATATTAATAAATCGCAATGCTGGGGTAAATATTTGCAGTACTCTAGTAGACCCGGGGGAAATTACGTGATAATAAGTGCTGACTGTGAAAATTTTGGAAAAATTAACTTGATAGCGCTGTATGGTCCTAATGAAGATAATCCCAATTTTTATAGGGAACTTTTCACAAAAATCGAATGTTTGCCAGAGGATCCCTCCGTCTTTGTTGGCGATTGGAACATGGCATTAGATCCGGCAAACGACACTAAACATTACAGGCGAGTGGGAAATCCAACTGCTAGGAAAGTGGTACTAGATTTCATTGAATCTGAACAAATGTTTGACGTATGGCGCCAGCTGCACCCTACGACGAGGAGGTACACATGGCGTAAGCCAACACCGCTGAGACTAGCTAGGTTAGACTTTTTCCTGGTTTCCCCGGAACTGATGAGCATGGTGGGAACCGCGGATATCGAAGTTGGATACAGAACTGATCATAATTTGGTCTCACTAACACTTTTGTCCCGCGCAGCTAGGCAGAGAGGAGGTTTTTGGAAGTTCAACAATTCTCTATTGGATGACAACGATTTTGTGGAAATGATTCGCAAAAGTATAATAGAATTCAGGCGTCAGTATTTGCTGCCAATATATAACCCCGTCACAATGGATAGCGACGAAGACGCAGTCCTTATTGTGAATGATCAATTATTTTTTGAAACTTTGTTGTGCCATTTAAGAGGATTGAGTATTCAGTATAGTGCGAGAAAGAAACGGTTATCAACGGAAAGAGAAAATAAATTAATTAGTGAAATTGTAACACTGGAACATAGAGTACAGAACGAGGGGACAATGTTAGTTTGAACGAGCTTTATAATGCCTCTGCTGAGTTACAAGAACTTCGTAAGAGCAGGATGAAAGGCGTTCTGCTAAGAGCAAAGGCGCGATGGATCGAGTATGGGGAAACTCCATCTCGTTACTTCTGCAGCCTAGAAAAGCGGCAGTACACGCAAAAATATATATCTTGTTTAGAGGTAGGTGGGACTTTGATTTCAGATCAGGAGGAGATAATGACGGCTCTAGTCAGACACTTCTCGGAAATTTACAAACGTAAAGAGAGGTCGAAAAAATTACAAGATATAGAACATTTGTTGGGAAATAATACGATTCGATTGAGTCACGAAGAGAAGAATAGCATTGAGGGAAAAATATCCATCTCAGAAGCATCGCAGGCGGTGAAAAGTTTACATAATGATAAATCCCCTGGCCCTGATGGGTTTACTGCGAATTTCTTTAAGACCTTTTGGCCGGAAATTGGGTACCTGGTTGTGAGATCCTTTAATTATGCGTTTGAAAACGGCCATTTATCGGTCACTCAAAGGCAAGGACTATTAACTCTCATTCCTAAACCAGGCAAACCAAAGACATGTATGGACAGTTGGAGGCCAATTTCATTACTGAACACGTCTCAGAAGATATTGTCGACAGTTATTGCTGGCAGATTAAAAAAAGTCATGGGAAGATTAATTAACATGGCTCAGAAGGGTTTCATGAAAAATAGATATATTGGAGATTGTATCAGATCTGTATATGATATTCTGTGGGAAACAAAGAGAAAGGAAAACAACAAAGACGTTCTCTTTTTATTTGCTGATTATCGAAAGGCTTTTGATTCTCTGAGCCACGAATTTATCATGGAGACTTTGCAGTTCTTTAATTTTGGGGCGGATATGCAGCGGTGGATTGCCACAATGCTCTGGGATGCTTCATCGTGCATATCACAGAATCAGATATCTACCGGCTTCTTTGAAATTGAGAGGGGCTGCAGACAAGGGGACTGCTGCTCGCCCTTGTTATTCATTCTCTGTGCAGAGATTTTGGGTATATTGGTGCGAAATAATCGTCTCATAAAAGGATATATCTTTAATCATCAAGAGATTAAACTGGAACAGTATGCTGATGACAGCACATTCATACTTGATGGGAGCCAGAGTAGTTTCAGGGCTTGCTTGAAAACAATTGCTGAATTTGGAGCGGTTTCAGGGCTGTCCCTAAATCCACAGAAGTCGGAGCTTTTATATTCAGGTCCGGGTGAGCCGCCATCCTTTATCACACAGTCAGAGTTCTCATGTGTGCAGGACAGTTTTCGTTACTTGGGAATCATTTTCACCAAGGACATGCATGAAATGGTAGCAGTCAACTTTAAAAGAAAAGTCGAGTCAATAACAAACATGCTCAAGGGCTGGCTCCGACGGCGATTAACTTTATACGGGAAGCGGACGGTTTTAAAGTCACTTGCTTTGTCCAAGCTGACGTACGTCTTGACGGTACTGCCTAATCCTCCAACTGCGATGACTGATGCACTGCAGAAGCAGTTTTTTCCGATTTTTGTGGGACAACAAGCCAGACAAAATACGTCGGTCCCATTTGATAACGCATTATGGCATACCCTGCGTGGGAACGTATGGTAAAGCTATGAAACTTGCTTGGGTGCGACGCTTTTTGACCGTAAAAAATATTGTGGGACCGCAAGTGGAATTGGATAGGATACTAAGTAGCGGTGACCGTTATATGAACAAGTTTGGCTCGAATATGAATCCTTTTTGGAGTGATGTATTTTCTGCATATGATGAATTCAAGCACGAGCTCGTAGTTGAAGCAAGCGATGTTTGGCAGATTCCCATCTTTTTATCTTCCAAAATAGTGATAGGACGGAAGCCCTTTTGGAAACGTAAACTTTTCGACGCTGGATGTAGGTCAATAAATGATATTTACAGTTCTCAAGGAGAACTTATGTCCTTTGAAGAATTTAGGAGAACTTATCCTGGGTGTTTGAACGCTTTGACTTTTGAGACATTGCGATGCTTGGTACAGAGAATTTCCATACCAAGTGAATTCGGAGGCAAAAAGCCAATAGGACCGTTCATCCACCCGGCTCTACTGCAAATATTGAACGGCGATTGCAGACAATATTATGATGCCTTACTGAATGTGAGATGTAAGAAAACAGATTCACCATTACCTAGTCAAATTAAATGGAACTCTATTTTGAGTTCTAACATATTTTGGGGGCATATATATTATCGATACAAAAGGTGTTCAAAGAATACAACTTTGATATGGTTCCAGGACAGAATTGTTCACCGAATTTTGACAACAAATACCTTTGCATCGAAATTCATGGACGTCAGCGACTTATGCACCTTTTGTGGTAGGGAAAGAGAGACGATACAACACCTAATGGTAGCTTGCGAAGAAGTGGGTGCGATGTGGCAATCGGTGAAAGATATGATACGTGACCGATTGAAGATTACGCTGGAATTGAACCCTCAGGAAATCATATTGGGATTTGATCCAGCTTTGTACGAATGCCCTAGGGAAACCGCAACAGCGATCCAGCGACTCATTTTGATAGGAAAATGGTACATATATAGTTGTAAGGTTAGAAAAGAAAAGCCAAGGTTTGTGAACTTGTTACAAAAAATGAAAATTCTGACACAAGCTGAATTTATGTACGACCATGACAAGAATGAAAGGGAAATTAGAGTACGAGATATTAATATGGTACTGTGCTGTAACCAAACATGCTAATGTAGTGAGCATCATGTATGTGCGTTGGAAAATGTGGTAGTTGTGTTGTAAAGAAAATGTGTAATAAAGAGTGATGGAAAAAAAGGTCATATCATAGGCGGTCCCAGGGGGGGGGGGGGGCACGGGGGCCATGGCCCCCCCTTTGGTGCTGAAAGGTGGGGCCATACTATCTTTTGGCCCCACCTTTCAGATCAACCAAAAGTCCCAGGAAAGCTTTTTGTATGTTTCATTTTCTCTCTTGCGCCATCAAAGGACGTAAATTTCACTCATGAGTGGGCTCAGTTTCGCATTCTGTCAATTTGGCGGTCAGCGTCGCTGCCACCGGTTCACGAGTATGGCCGGATCTTATATGGAATATCAGCGTGGGTTTACTTGAGGCTCTCGTAGGCCCAGCAATGGCTTGCATGAGACCCTCTTCGCCAGTGGCGGGTGGGCCCTGCCAAATGAGCGTGGCTCTACGACACATAAGACCTCATGGGTTGGTGCTGTGCACCTCAGAAGCCCGGTGGTGACGCCGTATGCCGGCTTGGTTTCTTAAGGATTAGCGTGGGACCTCCGGGGCCTGCATAGAGTTTGCATGAGCTAGTATGTAATCTCAGAGGCCTGTATGTAATGTGTACACAGTCATGGGTGGAGAATGTTTGAAAAAGTTACCCCGGCCGGCGACCGATAGTCGCGGGAAGACGATATACTCACGTTGTTCTCAACGGTCATCATCAAACCCCTATTCTGACGCATGGAATAGGATGCTGTGTTTGCTCAAGGATGAGCGTTGTATCCGACACCGTATTATTCATAACATTTTTGGATTGATCGAAAAGGCAATTTCCTTTTAAATTATTATTTCTTTTTGCTTAAACTTGCAATTTCACACCGAACCCAAACCAAACCATATGCCATTTTGAGTACCTAAATGTTGCGTTTTCAGCTTTTTATTGTCGTTGGATACCCGCGCGCGGCGCGGCCGAATCGGGCATGACTGTTGAGCAGGTTGCGATGAAATATGGAGCCCCCTGCGAAGAATAACGCAGTATCAAAGCCAGCTACGAATAGGGGAGGTCCTGGAGGATACCCCCAGGTCAGGCAAGTCACGTCCTGTGAAAACGTGACTGCCGTGTCTCAGGTCATCCAGGACAAGCAACGGATCGGGCGAGAAAATGTGTTCAATCGTCTTCATTAACGCCGGTGAGAAGATGAATAGGACGATGTATGAGCGTCTTCTTGCCAGTGACGTCATCCCATGGATCCTGAAGAGGTATCCGGAAGTCAAATTCGTTATCCAGCAGGACATAGCACCCGCAAACAACACAATTTCCATCCAGCACAAGCAAACGGAGGAGCTCGGGGGAGAAGTCCATTGCTGTTTTATGGAGATATTTTCCCCTCTAGTCACCCGACCTGAAACCCCTCAACTAAAGCATCTAGAGCGTATTGCAGGAGGAGGTCTAGGGAGTGGTCCCATCCCAATCTGGAGGCCCTGAAGACGCATATCGTGAAGACGTGGGAGACGAAGGACCCCGCCAATGTCATCAAGAGATGCAAGTCTTTCTGCCTCCGTGTGGAGAAGGTCATCGCCTCGATCGCCTCTGAGGGAGTGATCGAAAGTATCCGGTTTGATCCGGGGTATTTAAACACCACCACCCGGTTGAGTGAGGTTGACGCCGAGCACCGAGCCGGCGCGAGTCAACCCGCACCCACATAGGGCTATCGGCGGGCCCTGCCACCCGTGGGCCGTGGGGGGGGGGGGCGGCTTTCGCCCCCCCCAAGATCTCTGAAAGTTATCGATCGATTTTCAGAACTCAAACGGCGTTCGATAACCCCACCGGGAATTATAATTCGACCCAATTTCATTGACCTCGGTCCAACTGATGATGTGACAGGTCGGTTCAAAGGTCGCATTTTTCACCGTTTACAGGCATTCTAAGAAATTTGTTGTACAATCGAGTGGAAGGCATGCTATTGAAAATCATCGTGAGAGACTTGACACATATTTTGCCATTTGAGGTCACTGATAGGTACCAGGTCAGGTCACAGAGGTCAGGTCACTGAGGGTCACTATATGAACTAGTGTCGTGTGATGCATGTTTTATGGTCCATTTTACATGGCAAATACGATAGTGTGGGTTAGGCGACCATTAAGGCCAGTTAAGGTTGCATTCTGGTGAAGATAAGATCAAGATCAGTTCAAATAATGTCCAATTTTAAAGTTGACCTTCTGCGTGTAAAACGTTGTTTTGACACCAGCTATGTAGTTTTATTGGGAGCTTTCGAGAGCACTTCGGCTCCCTTCTTCAGCCAAGTCTTCTTGACCTTCTGCATAAAATGGGTATTGATTCGATGCAGCTTGTCACGTGGAGTCTAATGGTGGTCTTTTTTGCGCTACGTGGTATAGAATAGCTAAAAGACCTGTTTGAAAAATTTGACGTCATCAATTTTGAAGTTTTTTTTTCGCCATAGCTTGGTCAAAAAAGAGGTATTAATCTCAAATTTGGTGTGTTGATGGAAGACGACAGGGGCTATAACATATTCCGTTTTTTTCTCGAAATTCTATTTTTTTGCATATGTCAAAAAAAACTTTAATTATGTTTAGGGGTAAAAATAAAAAATCCAATATAACATTTTTATAAGCCCTGGTAATTCTACATATTTCATGTCAAGAACATTTTTCTGTATCTTCAAAGCTGTAGGCCGGATGCTCTTCCCGCGAAACCTTTTTTGGTCGAAAATGGCAGAACATGACGTGTTTTTGACGTCATTTGTGGTCAACCTATCGTAGCCTTTTGAAAAAAATCACAATGTGTAAAATTGATGCTGAAAGGGGTCCTGAAAGTTTGGTTACGTTTGCTGATTGCTGTAGTTCACGAGATATCTACGGAAAAGGACAGGTGAGGGGGCGTTTCGGCCCTCCCCCACGGGGCGCGGGTTAATATTTGTGCCGGGCCAAAGCTGTCAAATTGACATTTGAAAAGGGCGTTTGATGCACCATAGTGTGCGTGCGTTGGGCACTCATGTCTAGGTCATGAGCTATCGTCTGCAGTAGCAGGTCAGTAGACAGTCACGTCAGTAGCCTTTGTTTTATGAGCTAACGCAGGCCGGATGTCTCACCAAGTCACCGGGCGCCGGGTGCCGATAGCTGACCGTCGTGTGCCTCCTCCGCAGCCAAAGTGCAGCAGCGGCTGCCGCTGTTCTACCTGGCCAACGATGTCATCCAGTACAGCAAGAGGAAGAACCTGGAGTTCGTGCCGTCCTTCCAGACGGTGCTGGAGGGCGCCATGCCGCTGGTCAGGTGAGTCAGACGCTACGGTCCGACCCGCCTCCGACCGGCTCTGACGGGTCACTTTGACATAAAAAAATATCCATTTTGCAAAACCCACACTCGCAGCGCAGACTTTCAACTTTTATAATTTACCTAGCTCCAAGCCCCGTGTCCGATCCCAGATGGGTAATTGCAGGGCAGACTCGTCATAATTGTGTTTACGCTATTAGAAGCTAGTCACCTGATTCAAATTAAAGGGAAACTATCACCTTTTTCATTTTTATAAGATTGCACAATTCGAATTTTAGAAGTCGTTCTGTGCAGGTTTCAGACTTACCGGATTCTTCAAACACGATCTTTCGATAAATGATTCCAGAGTCGCTTGCGAGTCTAAAATAGTACGTGCGAAAAGCCTTCATCACCATTTTCATGATGGCCGACGGCGAAATTGTCACCTTGAATGGCGCACTTCATACATCTATCACGCAATTTCCGAAGGCAAGTTACAACGTTATTTTTTCAATATAAGCCTCACGCCCGTTCCACATTTAAAGAAAAAGGCAAAAATGATGCCAACACACAACCAAATACCTTCGTACCATACCCGAACGTTGAATCTCGTCAACCCGGCTTTGTTTACCTACTTTTGCGGCATATCGATTCGCCGGGTCCTAAGCCGGGAATTCCGGCGCCAACGTTGAGTGAATGGTACTAATGTTTACTAATCTCCAAAACTTGTCCAAAGCCACAGCATCGGCGAATTGATTTCTGCTTTCTTTTTGCAAAATGAAAAATGCGAAACGCCAATGGTTTTTGAAAATAATTTAACTGGTAATACATTCAGAATTTTCATAACCTAGGATGATATTATTATGTTGATATTCGGTCAAATCGTAAATTAACTTTTATTTGAAGTTTCGTAGAGAAGCTCCGATTTCACGCGATTCAAATATAGTGATAGTTGAGGAATCTGGTGGGTTTTGACGTTAAAATAGTACAAGAAGTAGGTGAAATCCCAATTTCAACATTAAATTGCTCGTGACTCAGACCGAATTTCGAAAATCTGATTTCAGTTTCGTAAAGTGGGGTGCCGATTCTACCAAATATCAAATTTTGTATTTTAGCTGACAATTTACCTTTAACGAATTCGTTGTACCGTATACTTTTTTCTCGAATATCTTTACACTCAGATTGATAAACCCATGACTTGTTGGGCTCTGACTGTTCCTGCATCAAGAATGGGATTTCTGGTTCCTGATAATTGATTCTCTTCGGGCCTTGGAGAATGACGATCCAATGAGGTAGTCAGTTCATTGCAGCCCTCCCCCTCCCCAGACCCAGCCCTTAGGATAAGTTTTTTCGATGCAACATTATGGAAGTTACACAATACAGGGTGTCTCAAAAGTTCGTTCACAGGTACCAGCCATGCTTTTTTGTCAATAATTCTGAATCAACAGGAAATTAACAGTCGAAATTTTCATGGGCATTGGTGACAACCTTCCTCAAGCAGTCTCATTGTTTTCAAGTGCATTCGACCCTTCATGAGCTCACAAAAAGGGTTCACCTCTGACCATGGGTCAGGCACGAAAATGTAGGTTGCAAAGTCGGGTATGTTGTGAAACTCTCTGTTTCATGAGTAATGGGAATGGTTAAGTCGGAAATGATACATGGCTAAGTGTCGGCGAGGATGAGCGCAACATGATGATCATCTCATAAAAACGGTTGCTAAAATTTTTGAAGGACGAAACCATGCGAGACTAACGGCGTTTTGAACGACCCTCGCACGACAGCAGACTCGTGTTCCGGAAAGCAGCTGAAAATGCGGTCATAACTATTGAAAACTGGCAAGAAGGTCACAGACAGAGGTTACCCATTTTCAAAAAGTGCAGGTCATTGTAAAATAAAGACAAATTATAATTTAAAATTGTTAATAATATCTATAACGCTAATTTTTGGGGACAATAACACAAAAATCGTCAATGCCAAGGACACCTGACCCTCCAAAAGTGTCAGTTATTGTAAAATTTTATCTAACGAAGTTTCAAGAGGCAGATCTGCAGCGAATAATTTTCATTTAAACACAAAATCCCGATAAAACCACACGATGGACAGGTTTGGGCCGTTTACAAAGCAGAACATCTCCCGAGGAAAACACTCCGCAACCGAGCGAAGGTCTTGGCATGGGGAATGACGAGCGCTTAGAATTTGCAAAATTTGCACAATGTGTCTGAGAAACAGACGTCCGACACATTCTGCTACCATATGACGCGAAAAATTTACTCCTGGCACTTCCCGTTTGTTCAGGACTGGGGTCGTTTTGAAAAGGAAAATGGCGCTTGGGATGTCGGCGCCAGTCATTCATGAAGGAGTTAGCGCCAGAGAATGCCTACAAAATACTCAAGAATGGTGTCGATGCAAGCTGTCGGCTTTCAGGGAAAATCAGATGTTGCCGGGGAGCTAGTCAAAACTAAATCCGACGCAGAAACTGCAGGGGATTCCCCTGCAAGAGCTTGAAAGCTGGTAACCTTTTATCAGCCTCCGGCAGCTGACGGAGCAACAAAAATCGGTATGGGCAAATATTTTTGGAGATACAGCAAAGGGGTTGGTTTCCAACCTTCTTAATCAGTTGTCAAAGCATGCATATTTGTCTAGTGTACACACAGACACCAAAACCTTATACTTTTGGCCGGTTCTTATATGCTTTATTGGCATGGGAAATGTGTGAACGAACTTTTGAGACACCCTGTACACATGTGTTGCAAATGCCACATACCCAACAAATATTACATACGGGGCATATAAATATTACATTTCACGTCAAATGGAACAAAAATCGACTGTTTTGCACTTCACCATCAGCGATTTCATTATAAATGTGTGAGCGAGTTCCTGTGTCGCTCTGGACATTATATTGACTTTTTTCGAACATTCTGACAACAGGTCTTCTAAATATAGGGCATCAAATTTTTACAAAATGTCGCATCTTCATATTTTTGAGCGACCATAACTTTGGTTGTACTTGTTTGATTTAAATGAAATAAACCATACTCTTTAGGTGATTTCTTAAACATTTGTTTAGCATTGCACGTACTTAAATATGTGACCTCGAAATGTGCTTAACTCTGTCCTTAAGCACAAAAATAGAAATAGCAAAAAAACACCCCACCTTCGATTTAGCTCATATTCATATATTTTATTTTGTACCATATTCTTAACCCGCGCCCCGTAGGCGGACCCTACCACCCGTAGGGGGGGGGGGACGTTTCGGCCCCACCAAAGATCTCGGAAATATACCGGCCGATTTTCAAAATTCAAACGGCGTTCGATAGCTCCATCGGGGAACTACCTTGTGACCAAATTTCATTGACCTAGGTCAGTTCTGCTCATCGTCGTGATGGAAGCCTTTTCCGTAAGTTCGTACTTACGCAGTGACTTCAGTGCACCAGTTTGTCGATAATGTAAGGTATAAGGAATCAGGTTCGATGATATAATTCGAGCTTAAATTTATGTCAATATTTTTCGTAGACTTCACAATGAATTGGAGGGGCCAGGCACTCGGCAGTAACGCCCCAACGCAGGGATTTTTTTCACACACCAACACGGACTGTCTTTCAAGGTCCCGCGCGGTTGCGTGATGTTGCTGCATGAAAACGGTGTTTGCTGCTAAAGTTATCAATGGCTCACTCAGCTCACTCTAATTTTTTTCACAGATAGTTAGGAACATGGTGACGGACATTATATGTAAAAATTAGCCAAATCGAAGGTGGTGTGTTTTTTTTGCTATTTATAGTTAACTGTTTTAATTCAAGGTCAAATAAATTTCAAGGTCACTTCATTTTGATTTTATAATTAAAGATTACAGCCTTATCAATTGCCTACGAAACCCTGTTAGTATCATTTCGATGCCAGAAAAGGAACCAGAGTTATAGGCATTTATAGACATTTATAGACATTTATAGGAACCAGAGTTATAGCCTGTCCCGTAGCTCAGTTGGTAGAGCAGTGGACTCCCCGCGGCTCCCGAGGGAGCGCACCCCGTAGCCGGGTGCAGTGAGTACTTTGGGGATGGGTGGCCTGTCCTCTGGACGGGCTCAGCCCCGGCGACTCACTAGGGTGCCTGCCCAGACCAATGTCACCCCCTAATTCCTATCATCCTTCCGGCTCTGAAATGGTCTTGTCGGACCGAAAGAGCCTAACCCAACAAAACAAACAAACAAACAAATACAGACGGCATCACTCGCTGGCCGCGCGCCGGGTCTCGAGGGGCCGGTGACGGCACTGTCGCCGCCGTTGGTCGCGGTGACACGGGCGGCGGGAAAGTCACCGGACCTGCACCATAGTGCGGTGAATGGTTGGACCTTCGCCGGCAGTAACTGTTTTTCTATATAACCTTCGCGCTAGCAAAGACCGATGTTAGTGGTTTCGGGACTGTATTGTCATATTGCATTGGTCTTTGGGTGAGGGTCCAAAATGCCCACACTTGAACATACAGTCCGATACACATATACACCGCATAACATGTAGGTGTACACTGTACATAACAGTCGTGCAGCAACGCATGAACCGACAGTATAAAGGTGTAGGTAGAACAAACAATGATAACAACGCATTACTAGCATTCGTTGCATTAATAGTGTGATACTGAGGCGAAGGCGGTGGGCGGTGTTGATCTCCGAACCCAACGAGGTTTGAGGAAAAAGTGACCGCTCCCCGCGGCGGCCGCCGCCGAGCGCTCATAGGTCCCGCCCGACCCCTGGCGGCGGCTCCCCGCTAAACCGCTGCCGCATTTGGTAACTTCGCTGCCGCGCCGGATACATAGAAAAACATTTTGCGTTCGGAACGCAAAATTACATTTCTATATAACCTTCGCGCTAGCAAAGACCGATGTTAGTGGTTTCGGGACTGTATTGTCATATTGCATTGGTCTTTGGGTGAGGGTCCAAAATGCCCATAACCCCCACCCGAATCCGCGAAGGAAAAATTGAAATGAACCTGAGATATATGTATTGCAGTAAGGCACGTATACAGCC